ACACACACACACACACACACACACACACACACCCCTCCCCTCCTGAAACTGCTTTTATTAAGCCAGGATGAACCCATATTTTAGTTTTTCAACAATAATTCCCAGAAACTATTCCACTTCTTAGTTTTAACATCAAAGCACACATATTATAAAAAGATCAAACAATCCTGTAAAAAAATCAAATGCATTTTGTCATGTTCTGTTCTTTTTTCTTCCATTCCCACCTATGTTCTAGAATAATACTATATATTATTTGACATGTTTTCATGTATGCATACAATGTGATGCCTATGTGGCTGCATATTGTGATTTTACATTTGAACTCTGTTCTGATGTTTGTTGATCACAGTGAGGGGGATTCTGTTTCTGAGTCTTTCTTATTGTTTTTTCTCCAGGCATACAAAGCCTCTGACGTTTGCTGACTGTATTGGCGATGAGCTGCCGGTGGGATGGGAGGAGGCGTACGACCCCGCCGTCGGACCGTACTATGTCGACCACAACACCAGTGAGCTTACTCTGATGTGTTCCTTTCACATGTTATTTTTCAATTTTTACTCGTTTCTGTTTCTTATCCCCTATCCTCTTTTTTTCCCTCCTGACTATCTTCACCTGACTAACTGTATGTTTTATTTTTTTCTATTATGTGCCAAAACAGTAAAGGGGACTTAAGACTGCTTATTCAATATTGGATAGTTCTTAAGTTATTCTTCAAATAAACTGGAAACACTGTTTCCCAAGTATTTAAGATACATGGATTCAAAAACGTTTAAGAAGATTATTACAATTTAGATTGTGCCTTTCCTACAGTTATTTAATGGTTTAAATTGCTATTGGGATACAGCAGTTCTATTAATCAGCTGTCTTGTCGGTCTTTAACATGTATTTGTCAAATCTTAACAATAAATGAATAAATATTTGGCATTAAAGTTACAATACAAGTAATATGGTCCCATCTCTGCTTGACTGAGCCGTATTTGATGGCTTTTCTAAATACTTGCCAACACATATTTGGACACCAGTTTTTCCCATACATTGATTTATTTGTGGCGGGCCGCCACAATTGAATATCGTCCGCCACAAATGGATCTCATTAAAAAAGAAAAGAAAATATTATTATTATTATTATTTTTTTTTTGGTGGTCTAACGGATAGTGAGGTGGGCTGGTGATCGGAAGGTTGCGAGTTCAAATCCTGCCGGGAACACCACTACTAGTGTGCCCTTGAGCAAGGTACTTAGCCCTCGGTTACTCCAGGGAGAATGTCCCTGTAATTGGTCATTGTAAATCGCTTTGGAATAAGGCGTCTGCGAAATGCCTAAATTTTAAATTATATTTTTGGGAGAAAAAACCCCACAGATCCTCAACTCCGGTGTGTTTCACTCATTAACAACGCAACACAGAGCAACAAGAACGTTGGGGGGGGGCGGGGGGGTGCAGTGCGGTGCCCCCACAAATAGAATCAAATTCTGTGGGAAACACTGGACACCATCATTCATATATAAACAACACCATAAAGCTGAACATCATATTTTCAACATAAATCATTAAAACCAACAAGCAGGTTTTTGTGGTTTTTGCTCATATCCTTCAAGACCTAAATCCTCTTCCTCCTCCACTCATGGTCTTCCCTCTCTCCCCCTCTCTCCCTGCAGAGAGCACCCAGCTGGAGGACCCACGGGCTCAGTGGCAGCGCGAGCAGGAGTTCATGCTGCGGGACTACCTGGCCGTGGCCCGCGACGCGCTCAGCGCCCAGAAGGAGATCTACCAGGTGAAGGAGCAGCGCCTCCGCCTGGCGCAGCAGGAGTACCGGCAGCTCCACGACGCCTGGAAGGACAAGTCCACGTCCCAGACCAGCTGTGAGTCCTGCAGATCCCTTTGTTCCACATGTAGGCACCTTTTTGGAAGTCCAACAGAAAGGGATTTAACAGCACAGTAGGTTTTCCTGACAGCTAAGCAAATGGTATCCTCTAAAAAAGCTATGGATTCCCTTCCAAAAAAACAGTCTTAGTCTTAGGTATCTAAATGATGAACTGCAATTTTGGGCTGTTTACAAAGAAAAACCTGCCTCGACACTGCTGACCTTTTGGGATAAAGAAGAAAAAAGAAGATGAGGAGGGTAGAAAGGTTTCATTTGGCATCAGTGTTGCTTTCTTTGCTGTTTTCTGAAATCACAAAAATATAGTATTCACCATCAGAGAGTAGTGTTAATTTCGTCAGCTATTTTTTATTTAGTTTTAGTCTTACTCCTGTGTTAAATTTTCCTTTTTAGTTTTAGTCATATTTAGTCGCCTTCATCCTGTTTTTATTTAGTCTTGTTTTAGTCGACTTAAAGTCTGAGCATTTTAGTCTTATTTTATGCAAAGAAAACTAATTATTTGAGTCTACTTTTTGTCAATGAAAACTGTTGAGTCTTTTTTAGTCATCAAATTATATACAACATTTCAGTCAAACTAGTCTAGCCAAAACCAATAATTTGTCCTTTTAGTCAAACTTATTTCACAATAACATTATTTCTTGTCCTTATTTGATGAAAAACACAGGTTGAATGATTAAGAATGCAGCTTTGCAGAGAGTATCTGGTCAGGTTTGTGGTGTTTTTACCTGCTAGCTGCGTTATGGCCACATTGCTTCCCTTCTGATAAAACAATGCATGCTCTTTTCTTCTCCGCCTCATTGTAGTGAAAAAGGGCCCAAATATCACATCGTTTCTTTCTCCCAAACAGTGGTGGCTTTAGACTTTTTCGTTGTCAGTCATTTTGACGGACAGGATCGTAACATTTCTGTCATAATCCATTATTACCCGTCGAGTCTGTACACAACTCGTCACTCACTCGCGCTGAGACGGGGGGGGGGGGGGTTATTCGGTTTTCGCGACCACTGCCCCCAAGCCCTGTTGTTCCCATTTTATTTTCTGTTAAATAAGGTTAGTTAGACCATGAGTTAGACCCGAGTCTTCCTGACAGTTCACAGTGTGCCGCTGGCTCGGTGTAATTCAAATGTACCGCCGCGCGCAGCACAGACACACAGCTGCTGCCCAGCCGCAGCACCGGAAATGAAACTGCTGCTGGGAGAAAAACTGACTATCAGAGAATGTAACGTTATCTTTGATCATATTTCGTCTCCTCATTTTTCGTCAACGAAATTAAAGAGAGATTTTGGCATAGTTTTTATTGAGTAAACTACATTTTCGTCTCGTCACGATATTGCATGTTGATTTCGTTAAAGTTAATGTTTACTGCCGTCGGTGACGTCTCGTCATCGTCTCGTTTTAGTCATGGAAATAAAGGTCGTTGAAAAACATATTTCGTCATAGTTTTAGTCAAGGAAATTAACACTATCAGAGGTTGATAGTTTACTTTTAATGATGAGGTTCTTGTCAAAAATAAATCCTCACGATTGTCATGAGATTTCTTCAGAAGTAAACACGCTTTCCCAGAGTGACTTTAGTGAATGGTTACGTCTCTCTTGCTCAGAGGTTCCTCCTGTCAACGTTCCCTGGTTAAAATCGAAATCAGATGTGAAATAAACATTTGAAAGAAGGTTATCGGGCCTCCCTAACACTTCTCTTTTCCCTATTTTTTCCTTTTATCACCTGCAGTGAATTCCAGATCGTCTTCGTCCAGCAAGTACGACCCGGACATCCTAAAAGCAGAAATATCCACAGCCAAAAGTCGGGTAAGAGCCTCTACTTCCTGTGTCGGCCTTGTCTGACTGATGCCTGATCTACACAAAAGACATGTTTCTTATTAGGGCTCAAGTTGTTTTAACATCATCAAATCTCTTGTTTTCTGAAAGTCCAAAATACAATTTATTATCCAGTTGTTTCTGATACAAATTATTTCAGCACTGTCTTGTCTTTTGCTTCTAAGTTTCTTCAGTTCAAATATAATGACATGTTCTTAGTCTTCTCTGAAAGTAAGCTGACTGTCTGTAGGTTCCTGACTTTGGGCTGGACACTATGATGGGCATGTATTACTTCCTGCCATTAATTGACAAAACATTAAGTGAGAAAATAAATATGGGTAGATTTGCTCCTCTCGATAACTCTTAATAATGTCATACATCAGACAGTGCTTCAGTAAAAGTTCAATGTGAGTCAAACATGTACCATCTCATTTATGATATACTCATGTGTGGTTACAGATGAATGATATTAGTAGTGAGCAGGAGGATACTTAGGCACTCACTCTTCACTCTGAGTTTACGTTTACTAATCCTGGCTGTGGATCAAATATGCAGAGGAGTTACCTCCCTAACCACATGACCGCAACTCGCTCTTGCCACGTGACTGTAATACAATGCATTCCACTGGCTCCTGTTTAATTGTATTTTCATTAACCTCATATCTTTAAATGCAAGTCATAGCACAGTTCTTAATGCTATGAAAGTTGAAAAGTCTGTGGATATTTCAGACCAATTATGAATATTTCAAACATTGTGTGCATATGAGTACCTCTCCTGTGTCATTGGGCAAGACTGGCGCTATTAAAATGAACAAGATATTGTTTGTAGCGTGTTCAATCCCACATACACCATCTTTTTGCTCCAGATTCTTACTAAAGCACCAAATGTGTATTATTTAAAGCCTGAAATTAGTCCCCAGCTCTTTTTGGGAATTATTTACATTATTTAAAATAAACAAAACTATATTTGTGAGTCTTGTTAACAAAATAACATGTTCAGTAGGATCCAATGGTGTTGAGTCTGAACCAGATTCCTGCATCGGGTCGGGTGACCCGCGAAAAAAGTGATTCGCGGGTGGTATTTTTTCAAACACTTTTTTCCGGGTTCGGTTCTGGGTAAAACAAAGATGATGCGGGTCGGGTCGGGGGGGAATAATAATAATTTAGTTAAATGTTTAAATCCTCAGACCGCTCCCCGCGGGACCGCGCATAACCATAACCTCTGCAGCTTATCAATCTGCTGCTGAGCGCGCCACATTCGAAATGCCTGAGGTGAAGCTCTAGCGGAGAATACAGCATTTTCAATAACACTTCCTCAAGAGCTAAATCCAACGTCTGGGAGGCTTTTGGTGTCATCCTAGATGGAGAAAATAACATCCCATGCTTTTTGAGACAAATATGCAACTGCGTGTGTTAATAATTGCACGTTTTCACTACTCATATATATGCGGGTTCGGGTCGGTTTGTGGATCTTTTTGGCAATATGTGCGGGGGGCGGGTTCGGTATTGCACGTCGCGGGTGCGGGGCGGGAGCGGGTCTTGAAAATCAGACCCTGGTCTGAACGCCACAGAGAGGTTAGATGTTTTTCAAGACTGACATTGTTTTGGGTTTTTCATGTGATTTTATTGTCAAAAAATAGCTTATTCTTTCAAATAATTCCAAAACGAACTATTGTGTTCTCTGTTTCAGGTGAACAAGCTGAAGCGGGACCTGGCCTGTATGAAGCAGGAGCTTCAGTTCAAAGAACAAGGCTTTGAGACGCTCAAAGAGTAAGTGCTGCATCCTTACATCCTCACACACATACTGATGACCTTGTTTTCTCGGACAAACTGGTATTTGTTACTCAGGTATACTCATGTATTGCCTCCCTGACCTTGAGTTCTTGCTGAAGGGCAAATTGACTGGCATATTTGTTAACAGTCGACACTTTATGCTACCAGCAGACCTCCTCATTTAATTTGACGCGCAATGCAAGACAGTCAGAATATGACCTGAATAGCAAGTGTCTGTGTGACCTTCCCTCTCTGTCTTCACTGATTTACAGTATCTCCATTAAAAATGAGGTTTAATGCCAAGTACACAAACCAGGCATTTGCTTTGGTGAATAATGGTGCATGACTAGAATTTAACTATTTTAAAAGCTATTTGTCAAGGTGAGTCAAAGTTAATTAAACATGTGACTCGAGTCCACACCTCTGCCGTCCGTCCACTCCTGAAAAAGTGTGCTAATATTAAAGGGAGCAAAGCATCAACACATGTCCTATCATTTCCTGAACTAATGTTAACGCTGTTCATTCCCAAAAATCAGCTGTCTAATAATTTCAGCTATTTTGATTTGACTTTGCATTTTAAACCGTCACTGTCAGTAATTTTTATAGTTATAGCTATATGTCCACAGCTTCAATGAAAGGTCTATCACATTTATTTTTTATCAAATCACCATTAATTAAATATCTGCTCAAATATAAGTAGATTTTCTTAGTCCTCTGACAGTAAACTGACTATCTTTAGGTTTTAGACTGTGGGTTGATCTGCACTTCCTGTCATATAAAGACACAGTTATTCAATGAGATAATAATTATGAGTACAAATGCACCACTTTCTCTGAACAATTACTTTCCTGAGTGCTACCCAGAAATAATCATACCAACAAATAATTTGCAGTAGTTAGCAAATACCAGAGTGTAGTATGCAAAACGCACTATGACTTTATCGAAGACAAAAAACTCAAATTAGAGGACTTGTTGTTTTTGAATTTTTGGAAATCCACTTTAGTTGGGACTTGAGTGCAAAGACTTCAGACTCACTTGGGAAATTCACCAACAACCTTTGGACGTTTCTGAATCGTGTTTTCCCTCTACTCGCTGTAATCTGCTCTTCTTAAAAACCCTAGCAATGTCTCAACCTAGCTCTTATCTTCCATTTTTCTTATCCTTATCAATGACATAATCACGCTAGCTTCACAGAAACATCTATTTAATTTCAAGATGAAGGTGTCAAGACTTGCCAAGATGTGTCCCAGGTGAACGGTTCATGTGAATATAGAGAATTGTGTTGAATGGATGAGCGTTACTGCGAAATGCCAGAGCAGCTGACTCTCTTATCACCTGAGTTATTGCCTCAGCATTATCACACATTCCATCAGATCATTTAACACTCTATAAACGCACCGATGGAACAACAGCTGAAGAATGTGGATTCAAGAGGAAACACCCCTTTCTATGTGACCTACTTCTACCTTCTGAAGCGAGTTCATCTCAACGTGCAAGGTGTATCAGGAGAATGTGGATCTGATTCATTTGTTCTTCGTGTCACACTGAAGCTGCTGTGATTTCTGAAATTGAACCTGATTGGAGAGCAGATCCGCCGGTGTTGAATTGAACAGGAATGTCTGGTCTCGCACAGCACAGTGAGAGTGTGAGGAGGATTAAAGAGTAGTTGAGGCAGAGCGGTTGGACGGCATTCCCCCGTGACTTTCCTCTCCTGTTTCAGGCGTCAGACGCCACTCAGCAACCAATCGCTGAAATACGAATATGCTTAGACAGGAATGCAGCCCAACACTCCTGTGAAGATTTCACAAAATACTGCTTCATAGGAAGGGATTTGCTATGTTTCACATATGTATGAACAGATAAATAATACACTGAATAAGGCATATGGAGTCCCCGGTAATATACTTTAGTGTGCTTTTGGCTCGGTCTGTTTTGATCAGTTTTGGATATTATGTCAAGTTTTTCAGACAAAGGGTTTATAGAATATTTTAAACCAGTTCCCAGCATAGTCTCACGGTGACTGTCATTTTAAGAGGGCAGAACATAAGTTTGTATTCCACAAGCTCCTTTCTCCAGACTTCCCTGTAATATGTTCCTCTTTTTCTTGTGATTAATTGGATGATTTTTATTTTGTATTCAACAACACTTCAAAAACAACTATTAGACGTTGCTACTGGGCTATTTCAGCCGATACCCAGCACTAAGTAGTAACACAACTTCTCCAGTAAATGATATCAGCATATCTTCCTTTTTCATACCTACATATAGAATAAAATGCACTTTGTATTATTTTGTCATCAGCCAAACACCACAAGCATTCTTTATGATAATGCAACTTCTAATCGCCTCCTACCACATGAGCTACAGCCAATACAGTCTGTGGTGAGCTCTGTATAAATACATATTTTAATAGTTTGAACACAAACTGACATGTGTTTGAGTTAAGGATAAAGACTGTAACAGTCTGTGTTACACCTACAGTGAAGGTTAAGCTTACAGCTGATCAATTGAACATGCTATAATGTCGTTAACATTTAAACAAACATTAGTTTTAGTTAAACAACATATTGTATCCTTTTCAGTTATATAGTTCTTTCTTTGTAGCAATTTATTGTTACTTTTATCATAATTGTTTTCATTATCATGACGTTACTTTCTTTTACTGTAGGTGCGTGCTACAGTTGTGAAAGGGAACTCCAAACAAAGTACTCTATAAAAAAAAAAGGGGGGCAACGTCTTTGCCTCTGCTTTACCAATTCTGATCATTTCTCACAAGCAATATAACCTTTAAAACAACCATCAGTGAATCTATCACAGTCTTCAAATGTTAGTCCAACATATTGATGGTATCTTCCTCCAAAATGATAAAAAAGTATTGCTTTTATGCCCATAATCTTTCGGCCTTATGTGTGGTATGCTTTGAAAGCATTTAAGATAACCGGGCTCTTTCTCCTTGGGCAAAACAATGGTGTGAAAAGGTGTGACATTTAAAATGTACAGTAAAGATTTGGATTGTCAATTTAAACGTGACTGTTTCAGCTTAGTAACCATTTGCTAAAGGTCCCTCTCTCTCTCTGGGTCATTGTGATTTTTGTCATAAAAAGGTTGATAACAGCGTTTTCTCTCGGCATAAGTCCATCTTTGAGACGGACTTAGAGAGGATTACTGGTTCTCTCTGCCTGACACAGACTCTCTCACTTCCTCATTCTCTCTGTACCTTGTTTTCTCCCTCTCCCTCTCTCTCTGAACCTCCCCCCCTCTCCCTCCCTGAAGAATGTGGAAGGACCTGTTATTCAGATGCATGCATGACTTGCTGATGAAAGGCTTTACAGAGCTGCTGCTGCTGCCTCTGATGGCTGTTTCCTGTCTGTTCTCCCTGCAGCCAAACACTGGATCTCATGTGTGAACGCTACAAATTGAGCAAACATTGAATCTCCATTTCCCAAATGATCCTGAGTAGGGCTGAACGATTAATCGATTTTAAATCGAAATCGCGATTTTAAATGATGCGATTATCAAATCGCAAAGCCTGCGATTTTTTTTAACCTTTTTTTTTTTTTTTACATTTATTTATTTTTTAACATTTTTTTTTTCTTCTTGTGTGTCAGTCATCCACACCAATCAGAAGTGCTGTGCTCCACATGTACCAGCCATTGTTAATCAATCAGAAGTGGCCCATGATAGAAGGTGATAGACAGATTGATCCAATCACCTGCCAAGTGCTTTTGAAAGTGCCTGCCCTTTCCAAATGGCTTCCAATGGAGCTCTCCTAGATGGTTTGGTGAAACAAAGAGCTGCTCCTCCTAGATGGTTTGGTGAAACAAACCATCTGAGTCAGGTTAGTGATGCTCCATCACATGTTTCTATTACAGGGTGAATCTTAAACTGAAGCTTTTTACATTAAACTTACGTTGGGTCGCTTAAAAACAAATATCGCAATGATCGCAATCGCAATATTTGTCAGAAAAATCGCAATTAGATTTTTTCCCAAAATCGTGCAGCCCTAGTCCTGAGTTATAACTCAGAATCAGGTTTATTGCAAAGTAGGTTTATAATGTGGCATACAAAGTAAGACAAATTGGGTTATAGAACTTTTTGAAAACTATTATAAAATAAAAAAACGGAATAAAATATTTTACAAGAAATATCAATTTACAAAGAAATATTTACAAAATAATGTTACTCTGAAAAAATGTGCAGTACATCAGAATTGAAAGTGAATAGCTGTAAAAGCTGATTAATCAGAATAACAAAAGTCGGCTTTACATTTAAACCCATTTTAATGTGGACTTTATTTGGTTATTATTAGTTTTTTATTATTGCCATTATCTGGTTCAGACGGACGAAGGACCAACAGCTACGTTAAGTCATCTCCTGCTTAACATAAAAAATCAGCTCCGCTTAAAAAAAAAGCTTTACTCATAATTCAGTTATCTTTTTGAATATATTTTTTTACTTTTCTGTCATTTCAGTGTCTCTCCTTTTCTACCTGTTGCCTTTAAGACAATGAGCCAATCCCTCTCTTACAACACAGAAGTACTGTTCCAATGTCCAGCATACTTGGAATTCTACCAAGCCCAGCGTATTTAGTTTGGAGAAATTTCAAGGCTGCACATGTGTAAACTCCGCGGTCTTAAAATCCCCACAATGCTCTGCTTTGCGCACGGACCAATTTCCCCAAATCTGTGGCGGAAAATGTAAGGCGGGGCCTCTCATATGAAGCACACTTGCACACTTGCTCGCCTGTTCCACTCTTTGTTTTCCGAATGTCAGGAAATATTCTTGCCTCGCTTCTGAAGCAAGACGCTCGGAAGACATGTGCTACCAAGCAAGCGTCCTCGCGATTGAGAAACACCAAGTATGTGCACTTCTTGAAAAGTCTCAAAGAGTCCAAACACCCCAAGAGAAAAACCCTTAGATATTGTGTCTCACAAAATCCACTTGTATTAGTTACAAATGTTTTTTTTTTGTCGTGATGCTGACCTTTTGGAGACATAGTCTAAATTGGCCTTTACACCTCTCAACTAAAACGGGGATGGTTGTGACGGTGCTGCAGGAGGCTGTTCTGTTCTTTTTTGGGCAGTTTTTTTAATGTAATGGCAAATAATTGTACTTTAAATTGTCTGCCTTTGTTTCCAATCATACTTGTATATGATCATGAACGATATCTCCCCTTCTATTTACAATAAACCCTTACACTGAGTATAACAAAGATGCAAGTGCAAGATCCTGCAGTCTAAGAGCCAGCTAAATATGCTGCAGTCCCCAGCTGATCACATGTCTGCTTTTAAAGCTGAGGCTGCAGTGTTCCAATCTCTGGCCCATCAAGGTATTGTGAGTCTACAAATGAAAAGAATCAGCCCAGGGGATTATTTGGAGAAAACAACCCTCTTGCATATTTTTAATATCTAATCCATTAAAAAGCTTTGCTGATGGTTCTAAACACAGAATATCGTTGATAACATCATCATCAGGATACATCGAACAATCATTTCTCAAAGAACAAGTAATAAGCTCAATAGAGAAGCTTGGAAAATATGTAAATAGGTGAGAGAATGAGCAATGCCTCCACCTGCTGTTATTCTTCACTCTGTGATCACAGCTTTAGCTTCACACTTAGTGTAACTGTATGACGATGAGTCAAAGTGTTGCTGTCATGTCTCCACACTCAGCTGATCTAGTTGCTTTTGTAACAGTTAAAAGAGCGGCTGATTAAAAGTCATCAGATCTGTGAAAGTAATTCATCCGTCCGGAGCAGATGTGTCAGGACATTTTGACAGGATCGTCGGCTGTTGATACTGCTACTTAAATCTATCTAATGCATCATCTCCTGTCTCTCTCCCCTTCTACCTCACCCCCCTCCCTCCTGCCCCCCCCCCCCAGGATGACCTGAAGGTGTCCAGCAGTCCGTATGGCTTCAAGCTGCAGGAGGCTCAGAGCATCCTCAGCGAGGTCCGCACCATCCGAGACGCCATCAGCTCTGGGGAGAAGGAGAAACAGGAACTCATGCAGGTAAAAAGACACATCTGTAATGAAGGGTGAAACAGTCAAGTACATCTAGAGAAATGTGATGATGAGACGTAGATGAGCCCATAACTAGTCAAGCTTTGTCGGGATCAAATCAAGTTTTATTTATATAGCACATTTAAAAGCGATTTTTGGTCGAGCCAAAGTGCTGTAAATGTAATAAAAACACATTACTACAATCACAATAAAAGACAATAATTGACAACAGAAATATAAAAAACAAAAACACAGGGAATAGTCAGGTGTCATGCTCCGCTCTGACTAGAAGGCCAGAGAGAANGTTTGATGTTTTTGTTTGGTTCATTTTCGTATTGTGTCCCACTTCCTGTTTTATTTTGACACTCACCTGTTATGCTTCATTCCAGGTTCCTTGACTCCCTACCCTTGTGTGAGGGTGTTTCTCAATGTCGAGTACGCTTGCTTGGTAGCACATGTCTTCTGAGTCACTTGCTTCAGAAGCGAGGCAAGAATACTTCCTGGCATTCGGAAAACAAAGAGTAGAACAGGCGAGCAAGTGTGCAGGTGTGCGTCATATGAGAGGCCCCGCCTTACATTTTCCGCCACAGATTTGGGGAAATTGGTACGTGCGCAAAGCATTGTGGGGATTGTAAGACCACGGAGTCTACACATGTGCAGCCTCAACATTTCTCCAAACGAAATACGCCGGGCTCGGTAGAATTCCAAGTATGCTGGACTTTGGAACAGTCCTTTGGCGGCACTCGATGGCGTAGTATGCTTGAAATAGTGGCTCTGGAGCAGGTTTACTCGAGATTGAGAAACACCCCCAGTCTGAAATCATTGCAGTGTGTAGTGTGTGTTGTTGGGATAGGATGTAGTTCAAGATAAGTCATCACAACCAATAAAACACCATCTAACACAGAATCCTTCTTAAGCACGCCTTCAGGGGAAGTGAAATGCTTCGTCTCTGCAGCATGTTCCTTTCCAAACAAACTTCATTAAGCAAACTTTAATCAAAATGTGCATCTAGCGCTGTCAAGAGCTTTCTCTTTCTTTGCTGTAAACAAATTCATTATCTATACCACCTCAACCTTCAACAACGTCAAATATCTTAAATCAAAATGAAAAGTAGATGTTTGATGTAGTGTTATTTTAGAAATATACTTCATCAATATTGTGTTAGTTTGATTTGTATCGCAAATATTCAACCTCTCTTTGCAAAACATATGTTGATTAATGCTATTTGCTCAAATGTTATGTCCTTCTTTTAAAGCTTGAAAAAGTTTTGACAAAACACACAAATACAAAAAACTACATATATTCCCAAGCATATGGGAAAGTAACATTTGGTAGTAGTAAAATAGTAAAAAACAGCAGTACCCACAGTCCACATATGTCTACATAATACAGAGAGTATACGATTTTGTAGAAACAACGAAGAGAATGGTTAACAAAGTCACTTACAATTAAAGTCCAAAACCTCTAAGCAAAATGGAAATACATGAATTAAGGCGGACTGCGACCTTTTGTCTGTTATTGATTCAATATGTGGGGCTGAAAGTGTCTGATAGTCAGGCAGCACTGAAGTGTTTCTGAGAGGAGTGCAGGGAAACGCTGCTCAACAACAGACACTCCTGGGTGCTTTTTAGCTTAGAAGCCATGATAAGAGCTGTTTGAATTCTCAGATGATGTCCAATACTTCCTTTATTATCTCCTTTAGCTCAGGATACACTGGACCATCCTTTATAAAAGGAAAGGAGAAAAGGCTGTCCCACAATACCTTACATTTAACCCTCCTGTGGCGTTTGGGTCAAATCCGACAAATTCACTGCTTTCATCAATCATAAATTTACTGTGTTTGACATTTGATTGTCTCAAGGTCTTGATCATATACCACCATGTTCATTTTGGAAAAAAATTTCAGTGTCTGTTCTTTGTATATTCACTGAAGTTATTCATGTAAACCAGCAGTCTGAGTTTAAAAGGATGTTAAATACATTTGGTGATAATTAATGTTTTTCGTGTTAATGTACGAGCAGTTAAAACAAACCAATGACATCTGACTGGGAACACCACGGTGAGGGGGAGAAACGAACACGACAGGAAGGGTTCAAGTGACGCACCGTTCATGAAAGCAACCGAAAGTGATCATGTACGTTTCAGTGCTTATTAAGCATTTTCCATCTTATGCCATTACTCACTAAGTCCTTATCTGTTTTCAACTTTCAAAAATATGTTGTACCAAAAGGCAAACTAAACATTTAAAAACAATTACAAAAAAATGATCAACTCAGTGAAGATGTCAATCCATGGAAAATGTTCGTTTTTCAACAGCAGACGTACTGTCGCATCGGAACTACGTCGCCCAGTGTTGCCCAATCAGATTCTCTTAGACCTGCAGCTGTCTTTTCCTGATGATTTCTCCTTCACAACTTTCCTAAACCCCATGATGTTTTTCACTTATTTGAAGGAAAAAGAGGCTAGGAACAGACGAAAGGACCTGATGGTCTGAATTGGACTGCAGCTAGTTTAAGTCAGGGGGTGGTCTATTCTCAAAACCCTAAGCCATAGAAAAGGCCCTGTGTCTAATATCACGTACCACCACAGGCTTTTCTTCCGGTACAATAATTGATCCTGTCTTATTGTATCTCAGTACGCCTCACGTCTCCTTCACCTCGCCCTGCTCTCACACCTCACCTCCCACCCAGACGTGTCCGGGGATAACTACCTCTTCCCCAGACAGATGTGACAGTAATGAAATGAATAGAGCTTTAACAGAGGATAAAGGGCCGCTCTTTATTGACAGCTCGGCCTCATTTATCTCCAGACATGCCACACCCCCCCTCCTCCTTCTCACCCCCCACCTGCTCTGTCCTCATCCACCAACCTGCCGAGAGGGAGTGTGATCTCCCAACATGCAGTGCTCTATTGGAGCTTCCTGTTAATGTCAAGCCTCCCTCCATTACCAACGCCAAGAAACTTCCCACACATTCTTACCTCCAACCCCGTAAAACACACCCATACACACAGACAGACACACAGACACACACACACACACACACACACACACACACACACACACACACACACACACACACACACACACACACACACACACACACACACACACACACACACACACACACACACTTAGAAGGCGTTTCAGATCCAAACAGATGCTGGGGCAGCTATTAGCTCACTTTAATGTACTCTGCAGCAGGGGAGAATATGAGATGGCAGAGCAAAAAGAGATTTGAGCCAGAGCTGACGGTGGCAGTCTGCTGAAAGAAATCTGACCCTGAGATTAAACTTGATGTCTCCTGTCAATTATTCAAAGCAAGTCTTTGGATCTTTGCTGTTTGCTGTATTATGGCTTCAAACTCACTAAAAACACTGGATATTCCAGGCTTTTCACAATAGAGCACATAATGGAGCAAGGCTGTTATTAAGCATGGCATAAATGAATTATGTTTTCCAGTACAACATATTATTTTATATTTTAACCCTTCATTTTTGTTGATTATAGTCCAAGGTGAATATGCAACCTGAAATGCTCTTTTATAAGAACTTGCCCAAATGATAAATACTGGTGGTGTCAATCGATTTGAAGATTTTATCACGTTAAACACCGTAGCTTATTTACATATTCCAGCAGTTAAATTCTAACAGGTTCAGAAGAAGACGCTGGCAGCAGACAGAGTACGAGGAAAAATAACTTAATTTCATCGAAGACAGAAAAACTAAGTCCGAGCAGACCCCGGGATGATACACTGAAAAGCTGACTTTAATTAAGTGTATTAGATCAACAAATGTCATATAACTCTATTAGGTTAGTAGAAAGCTCAAATATTAAGTTGAACCTAATATTTTTCATTTAAACTTATATTGTTGCTTTTTGTTATGTGAAATCTGTTGATATGATACATTTAAGTAAAGTCAACGTTTCAGTTTTTTCGGTGTACGGTTAGACAACGTTGTATTAGCATTGTTATAGCTAAAGCCTCCCTGTTTCTTATTGGTTGATCTAGGTGAATGACGAGTTTCCATGGTGATGTTCCCTGTACTACATTGACCGACACTTGACCTTTTTCTCGTAAACTATAAGTATAATGAAAAAGGAGGTTAATTGTCCTATCGTAGCTTCGTACCCCATTAACTTCAGAGAATGAGAAGAATAGTTTACCTGAACCTACGATAGGTGGCCTTTAACATTGACTCTCTTGATTCCACATTTTGTGAGGCCTTGCTTTTTTTAACATAGTTCACACACAATACACTCTGAACATTAATTATCCAGTCCTTTGCTACTACATTGCATAATGTCGGGTTACGTATGGTAACCCGTTATATAAGCAAACCGGAGCCCTCTACAGGACACTATGGATACTCCCCTGTATCCTATTATGCACGCATTCCTTCACTGAGACTTCCCTAGACGTAGCCGCCCCCTGGGCGGACCTACCTGAATGCGCGCGCATCCATCGCATAAGAGGTGGCCTCGCCCCCTCACTGCTATCCCTTTACTTTCTCTTCAGCTGAGTAGCATAGGGCAGTAGTGCTCCATGAGTAGAGGGCTCCGCTGTGCTTATACAACACGGGTTACCATACGTAACCCTACGTTATATCTCTCACAGCCCGATGTATATCTGCTCTGTTACCCCGCGGAGGTGTGCCAAAATGTAGAGGATTTCTTCCCCCTGTCTTAATGCAGGGGAAAAGGAAACCTCCAGCCCCTATGGGCCCATGTGCGCGAGACGGAAGCACATTACGTCCGGGGAGGGGGTCAGATGCCCACTGACCCACAGCCCCCCTCTCCCTCCTCACCAGTCCTGCGTTGCCCCAGCAAGCACAGACAATGAAAAGATGCCAGACATGTCCAAGAGATAAAACTTAATGAAGGGACCTGGTGTTGACCAAGATGCCGCCCTGCATATGTCCTCCACGCTTACGCCATTAAATAAGGCTGTTGATACAGCCATGGCTCGTGTAGAGTGTGCACGGACCCCCGTGGGGGAGGCTTT